CTTTAAAGAACCTGGTCCCTTTAGGTTCCAAACCTTTAATCAGTTGGGCTATAGGAGCTATGCAGGTAAAGGATTATGCTGATGGGAGCTATGTCGATAAAGGTTTATGTTTACTGGAGTGCAGGTAAAGGTGTTTGTTTACTGGAGATGTGCAGGTAAAGGTTTATGTAAATTGGAGCTATGCAGGTAAAGGATTGCGTTTACTTGAGCAATGCAGGTAACGGTTTATATTTATCTTAGCTATGCACGTGAAGGTTTACGATTATTGGAGCTATGCAGGTAAAGTTTTATGATTATTTGAGCTATGCAGGAAAAGGTATATGTTTACTGGAGCAATGCAGGTAAAGTTTTATGTTTATTGGAGCTAGTAGGTAAAGGTTCAAGTTTATTGGAGCTATGCAGGTAAAGGTTTTTGTTTGCTAGAGCTATGCAGGTAAAGATTTGCGTTTGCTATAGAGCTATGCAGGTAAAGTTTTGTGTTTGCTATAGAGCTATGCAGGTAAAGGATTATGTTTGCTATAGAGCTATGCAGGTAAAGGATTATGTTTGCTATAGAGCTATGCAGGTAAAGGTTTGTGTTTGCTATAGAGCTATGCAGGTAAAGGATTATGTTTGCTGGAGCTATGTAGGTAAAGGATTATGTTTGCTATAGAGCTATGCAGGTAAAGGATTATGTTTGCTGGAGCTATGCAGGTAAAGGTTTGTGTTTGCTATAGAGGTATGCAGGTAAAGGTTTGTGTTTGCTATAGATCTATGCAGGTTAAGACGTGAACACTGAACATCTACGTCAATTTAGTTTAATCCTAATTCAATTCCGTGGAAAAATATTTCTAAACACATTATCCCGAATCGGTACAAAAAAAACATTTAACATCATTTTTAGATACTTGCTTCTGTTAACGCTGTATTTATCGTTTTTGTTTCAGGAGTTTGGAAAATTTGATTCAGTCTGGGTATCTACCGATCACTCAGGTAAACAAGTTTCCTAGTAAATGTCGTCTTTATCATGTTTTCAGATTTCCTCGTGTGTTGTCAATGAAAAACATGTTTAGGTATTTAGATTTTAAATTATTATCTTTTAAAATCGTTTAAAACTTTTCTTTTAAGTTTAAGGCATTTTTGATTTTAAAAAAAAAATGTTTAGGCCAATTTTTATGGGTTTTCAAGTTATTGTAAAAAATAGCAACAAAAATGGCAAACTTTAGAATTGGCCACAGATATACATTTTTTTTCGATGGATCATCCATCCCCCCCCCCCCAATATGATAGAAATGTTTGTTTCTATTTGATCAGACAAACCTTACAAGGGTACTGTTGTGAATTGGGCAATGTCATCTTTGCATGGAGGGTCACTTAAAGTTATCCTTAACAGTCCCTTTAAAGGGACTGTTAAGGAAAACTGAAAGGGGGGATTAGGCTGAAACCTAATCACTTTAGGGTTTGATCGAGACCTATAAGAGTTTTATCAGATGTTCCTGTCTCGAGAAATTGATATAAAACTGTCTAAGTTTTGTGAAAAATGTTTTTCCCTGAAATTATGATTGATATTAACTTGATCAAGGAAAAATGTCCTAAATGTAAACTATGTACTCTGGAAAGATTCCTGAGAAGCTTGTTGCAATGAACCACTATTTATTCTTATTGTTTATTGATAAAAAACCAGTAATATGGATAATAATGAAGTATATTCAGGAATATCAACGTGAATATCAAACAGTATCATGATTTGATATTAATAAATATAGACTTATTAAAAAAAACATAATCCATAAAAGATATCTTTGGAAGTTTTAAATTTTAATTGAAAACAAACTTTGAGAATCTGAAACCAACAAGAATAAGACATAGTTTTGGAAACTTTGAGAAACTGAATCTAACAAGAATGAGACATAGTTTTGGAAACTTTGAGAAACTGAATCCAACAAGAATGAGACATAGTTTTGGAAACTTTGAGAATCTGAAACCAACAAGAATGAGACATAGTTTTGGAAACTTTGAGAAACTGAATCCAACAAGAATGAGACATAGTTTTGGAATTTTTGAGAAACTGAAACCAACAAGAATGAGACATAGTTTTTGAAACGTTGAGAAACTGAATCCAACAAGAATGAGACATAGCTTTGGAAACTTTAAGAAACTGAAACCAACAAGAATAAGACATAGTTTTGGAAACTTTTAACGAATAATCCATTTAATGTACGATCAGAACCTGTAAACTGTCGAGTAGAAATACGACATCATAGTAATCCTAAAATCTATTTAATGTTGCAGGGTGGCCAAAATGTACTGATTGTACTTTTTTACCAAAAATTGTACGGAATGTACAGATAATGTCTCAAATTGTACGGAATGTACAGAAAATATCTCAAATTGTACGGAATGTAGAGAAAATGTCTCAAATTGGACGGATTTTCAAGATTGTTAGCCCGAAAAAAAAAACATTTTTAAAGTTGTCACTTAATTCCCATGTTTATTGGGAACACTCTGTAGACTGTCGAGTGGTAATAAAGTACAAAAGATTTCACACAAAAAAAGCATCCTAACTTAAAATCTTTAAAAAATGTTAATGTCATGAATTCCATAATTAAAGCATAGGGCTATTCATTATGGATAAATAAATAGTTTTAAGCTAAGACAAATAAGGAAACCCATCCCAATTCAGAAAATAAAAAGAATAGCTAACATAATAGTACAAACATAAAAGAAAGCAGATTTTATCGTGATTTTGTTTTAAATCGACTTTATCATCTGTACACTGCACAGTGCATGCACCGTTATGTGTACATTGAACAGAAATCATTTATTAATTTTTAAAAACTGCATTAATAAAGTTTTAAGAACTGCTAAACCCCGATGTTCATTTAGTTGATTAAAACCTTTCTTTTGGTATTTTTGGTTTTAGGCTTTCTTCGCCATCCCATCCTTTATTGTGGCATCCAAGGATTAAGATTTTCTTACCATCCTTGTTTACAGTATCCTTGGTTTTGATTTGTTTCTTGGCACCTGACGTCTAAGAGGAGTATAAGTTTAAATCTGTTTTCAAACTTGTTTAAAGTTGACTGTGGTAAACTTATATTATAAAGTACCGTCTACCGTGAACAGTGTATACTGTATGCAACACCAAGGGAGATTGTTCATTAGAAATCCCCCCCCCCCCACTTCAAAGGTTTATTTTGCGCGTCAAGCATAGTGCGATCGGCTTATTTTTATTAAATGGGACTTTCATATGATTGATAAAAATTGGAGTAGACTGTTACTCTTACTTCAGTGGTCCTCGTATATATCAACACAATGAAGACGACTTTCGATTAAATATTTTGCTTCTACCAAGCTGTCAAACAGCATGGATGCACAATACACATAAGCATGGAAACAAAGAGAAGCTGTCAATTACCAGCTTCTCTTGAATTACTTGTAAACTTGTAATTTAAAAAGGGCTTGAAAAACATAAATATTAAAGCCGTTTTCATTTTATTGATATAAACGCAGACCGCTGTATCATTAAATTATAGGAAATGTACGTAAAAATTAAAATGAATTTTATTGTACAGGAATCTCAGAATGTGCTCAAGCTCTTGGTGCTAAGGTAATATTTTATTTAATCGCAATGTGGGCCTTCTGCTAGACAAAAATAAAAAAAGCTGGTTAGCGCTCGTAATTGAATGCTGTGGATTTATGCTACTATTATATTTTTTCATGAAATGCAGCGTCCAATTCTCTAGCCTTTCCTACCTCCAGCGCTATGATCTATACATAGACAGTTTCATTTGTAGCGCTCCATTTCATAGCGAGTTCTATCCGTAGTGCTCTAATTTTATACCAGTTCTATCCTTAGAACTTCATATCCTTGCCAGTTCTACCCCCAGCACTTTATTTTCTTGCCAGTTCTATCCCAAGCGCTTTACTTTTAGTCAGTTCTGTCAGAAATGCTCTGTTTTCTAGTTATTTCTATCCGTAAGTCTCTTCCTTTCCCAGCCAGTTCTATCCATAGCACTCTATTTCCTAGCCAGTTCTATCCATAGCACTCTTTTTCCTAGCCTGTTCTATCCATAGCACTCTTTTCCCTAGCCAGTTCTATCCATAGTACTATATTTCCTAGCCAGTTCTATCCATAGCACTCTATTTCCTCGCCAGTTCTATCCATAGCACTCTATTCCCTAGCCAGTTCTATCCATAGCACTATATTTCCTAGCCAGTTCTATCCATAGCACTCTATCCAGTTCTATCCATAGCACTCTATTTCCTAGCCAGTTCTATCCATAGCGCTCTTTTTCCTAGCCCGTTCTATCCATAGCACTCTATTACCTAGCCAGTTCTATCCATAGCACTCTATTTCCTAGCCAGTTCTATCCATAGCACTCTATTTCCTAGCCCGTTCTATCCATAGCACTATATTTCCTAGCCAGTTCTATCCATAGCACTCTATTTCCTAGCCAGTTCTATCCATAGCACTCTATTTCCTCGCCAGTTCTATCCATAGCACGCTATATCCTAGCCAGTTCTATTCATAGCATTCTATTTCCTAGCCAGTTCAATCCATAGCGTTCGAGTTCTATCTGTAAACCTCTATATTTATATCCTGTTACATCATATTTAAAGAGCACATGAATTTCAGCTGTTATTAAGGTGTATAACCGTTGCTGTGAACATGCTGTTGATAACTCCACATCAATATCAGCTGTACAGGAGTTCCTTAAAGATCACCAGGTTCGATTATGCTCAACAATACGAGTGCTGTACAATACGTGCTGTACAGTTTACTGTTGACATTATGCTTAGTCTTGTTTAAACTGTTTAATAACTGTATTTAATTTTACTTTGCCTCAAAAAGTGTACTTTTCTAGGAGGTGGATGTACTTTGCTTAATACAGTGTACTTTTCTAGGAGGTGGATGTACTTTGCTTAATACAGTGTACTTCTCCCTTTATTCAACCCGAATTTCTTGATGCAGGTATAAAACAAAAAGTAACGTTTTTTAATCGTACACTCTATTTTTTGAATAAATTTCACTTAAGATTAAAATCTTACACAATTTCATTCTTGGCACCTCCTCTTTTTAGAGCTGTTGTAAAGGAATTTCTATTTGCTCTTTTGTCTAGTGTACAATCCAAGCTAGAGAACTTAAGACTTAAAAGATCACAAAGCGAAACAAGGAAGATAAATAGATTTTTGTTCAGGATATAAACTGCTCTTGAAGGGATATGAGGCTGTGTTCAGTGTAACTAGGTATTATGAGCAGCATTATTATGGTCATTATCAGTATTATTATTTATATCATTATTTTTATTATTATTATTTTTATTAATATTATTATCATTATTATAATTACTATTATTATGTATATTTGGTAATTGGTAATTGATATTGGTATTATTTTTATTTTTATTATTATTCATAATAATATTAATTACAATAATTAAAGGGATAAAAAATATCGTTGGCGTGCTGTAGACATATCTAAAAACGAATCCACTTCACCTCTTAACTTCAACCCGGAGAGAAGACAGAGAAGACAGGAAATGCAGGTATGCATGAACAAATTCAAATCTGACAGGAAATAGATATGTCTTACTAAACTAAGGTATTGGTGTAGGTCAATTAGGCTGTAGAATGTAAAAAGTCTGGCCGCTTCATTAAAGCTGAAACCTTGCCGGCATAGGAGAGGTTCAGGCCACATGTCACTAAGGGTGGTACAAGGGGTGGTTTGATTCGAATTCAATTGACTGATCCACCCTAATGCAGGTAGTACTGGGGGAAAAGCAGGAAATGCGTGGATTAAAAATCAAAAATACTGACAATTACTGTAGGCTGTAGGCAGTAAGGTATTGAATTGTTTATACTGATAACGAGGCAAGGAATACAAAAAAAAATTTTATAACACCATTATTTTGGTTTGCAGTATTATAAAGTTTTTGGACAGAAATTTTCTCTTTATCAAGAAGGGTCAAGCCTTTTTACTTACTTGTATACTTGGAGAGTAGTTGGTGTGGCTCCTGCTAAGGGCATTTTCTTCTCAGTCTTCTTCTGGGAATCTTGTCATTACTTCTTCTCAGAAGAAGATAAATGTTGATCTAGATTTCTTTTAAATATCTTGATACTTTGGGACTCTCTAATTGTGGTGGGTAACTGGTTCCAATCATTAATGACTCTCAGGGTAAAGAAATTACTTCTGATGGTGGTGTTGGTTCTCTGTTTGGTCAGCCTGGTTCTGTCATGTGATTCTTTGGTGGTTCTCACAGATACTTGATTAACTCTTTTAAACCAGACATCATCTCCTTCAACTTCTAGAGTTTTTGTAGGCTTTTATTAGATCATATCTAGTTCTTCTTTTTTCAAGGGAGAGAAGTCTGAGTTCTTTGAGTTTTTCATTAGATCCAACTGATCTCAATCTAGTTATCATGTTCACAGATTATATTTGGACATTTTCTAAAGACCTAATATCCTTTAGTAAGGTTGGAGCCCAGACTGGAGTAGACAACAACAGGTGAGGTCTTTACATAAACCAAGAGCCCTCCTCCAATTCTATATCTAGTATACCATGTCTGTCTTTCTGGATTTCACTACATAGCTCATAACCTTGAATAGAGATAGTTGAGTCACATATAGAGTTATTGCACCAGGATTCAGTAACTAATATAGTAGATGGTTTCAGGACATTAGTAACAACTTGAAGTTCATTTAGTTTACTAATTATACTTTAGGCATTGAGATAGAGAATACTTAGTGGTTTCGTTTCTTTGTAGGGTTCTCCATTCTCATTGTATCCTCCTCCCTCCCCCCCCCCCTTCTCACTCTGGGTCCTGTCTTTGGTTCTCCGATTGGTATTCTATCTCCTTTTGTTTCTCCCCAACGGTTTTATGATTGGAGCTTGTTTTGACCCTTATAGCTCTTTTTTGGCCTCTTGGTCCGACTGCCTTTGATATGAAGTATAGGTCCTCGTTTTTTTATCTCAATTTTTCTCACATCCATGTCCTCTTGTCTCTACTGTTTAGTTAAATCTGGTATGATGTTAACATCTTTGGATCTAGTACCTGCCAGTTTCCTTGAACTCTTGCAATTTTTGTTCTCAATGCAGGGTTTTCAAGACCTACTATCAGGGGTCTAGTGCTATCACCCACTCTTCTCAGAAATTTAAGATCAATCTCAGGTTCTAGTTCAATATTAATAGACTGTGTAGAACTTCCTTATATGAAGCAGTATCAGCTTTTTTTCTCTCATATTCATTCTTTATTTCAGGACTTGGTTCAACAAGGTTGTGAATTATCAGGTTCTCCTTCCTTTCTTCTCTATCACGAAGTTCAGCATAGACATGCTTTTGAAAGTCAGCTGATGACTCAAGGCTTTACTGTTTAGCATTTTCAATTTTTTTGTCCAGATTCTGTTGTCCTTCCTTAAGGGCACCAATCTTCTACTTATTTCAATATTTCTGTAATCTTTTTGTTCAGCTTAGCTGTTGCTAATCTACAGGATTTGCAGGACTAGAAAAATCCTCCATTATTCTCAATCTGGTACACCAGTTCCTTGAAAAAGGTGTCACTGAAATCAGCACACTTCTGATGAACCCATACGTCACAGAGATTGCACATTTGTTCTTCACATTGGAGGCATGGGAATTTGGGAAATCCTTCTTTCTCTGTTTAGATGACATTTTGCTGTAAGGTCAGTAAGACGGATTTGGGATCAGGATAATTAGGTCAGCTGTGAATATTTGGGAATCCACTAGATCAGTTGGCCAGGGGTTAGCTCAACCGCCAAGAACCTGAAGAAAATCTCAGCAGTATCTATATATAAAAATATTATTATATATCCTTCAGTTTTGCTATTACTTCTTAGTTTTTCTCACTAAAGTTTTTGCACTTAGTCTAATAAGAAACAATGTCAAAGTCAGAGGAGGGTGACCCTCACACCCTTTCACTCCTTAAAAAAAAACCAAGGGATTTTCCGGCGTCCCATACACCGCAAGAAAGTTCTGAAGTCCCCCGGATCATCAGATCATCAGGCTACTATATGCTTCATTCACTTCAGGTCAGAGAATAGATTAGATTAGGTGCACACTGGCACAATTGTCTCCCATTCTTTTCTGAAACCTCTTGTAGAAGTGAATCAAGAAAAATTAGCTGGGTCGTTTTAAATTTTATTTTGTTCCGAGCTTTAGCAAGGGACAACAACTTTATAGCACTTTGTACTAAGATAATAGTTTTATGGGTAATTTAAAAAAAAATTAACTTATTGCAATGGCTTTTTCTAAATAAATAAGCTTTTTTAAGAAATAAAAAAGTTAATTTCAATTTTATTTGCATTTGCATTGAAAAAAAAGTATTTTGGAAAAAATCTGGGATCCAATCAAAACTTTGAAGCACTGCTATAATGCACAGCTAATTTAACTTTATAGCATGATGGCTACTTTATAGCAGGTTCATAAGAAAATTCACCATGAAGTTATTAAGAATGATGAAGTAAATGATAGTTTCTTAAAGATTATTTTTTGTTTGTTTTCAGGGCGAACTAGTGGAGAATGGTATGTTCTATTTCACAAAAAGAAATCTTTTGGAAAAGGGGTTGTTCCAAGGTGGTAGGTAGGTTTTTTATGAAGGGTCCCAGTTGGGTTCTTATAAATTGTCCCAGGGTGGTAGGTAGGTTTTTTTGAAGGGTCCCAGTTGGGGTCTTTTAAATTGTTCCAAAATGGTATGTAGGTTTTTTATGAAGGGTCCCAGTTGGGGTCTTATAAATTGTTCCTGAGTGGTAGGTAGATTTTTTATGAAGGGTCCCAGTTGGGGTCTTTTAAATTGTTCCAAAACGGTATGTAGGTTTTTTTATGAAGGGTCCCAGTTGGGGTCTTATAAATTGTTCCTGAGTGATAGGTAGGTTTTTTATGAAGGGTCCCACCCAGTTGGGTTCTTATAAATTGTTCCTGAGTGATAGGTAGATTTTTTATGAAGGGTCCCAGTTGGGGTCTTTTAAATTGTTCCAAAATGGTATGTAGGTTTTTTATGAAGGGTCCCAATTGGAGTCTTATAAATTGTTCCTGAGTGGTAGGTAGGTTTTTTATGAAGGGTCCCACCCATTTGGGGTCTTATAAATTGTTCCAGGGTGGTAGGTAGGTTTTTTATAATGGGTCCTAGTTGGGGTCTTATAAATTGTTCCTGAGTGTTAGGTAGGTATTTATGAAGGGTCCCAGTTGGGGTCTTATAAATTGTTCCTGAGTGTTAGGTAGGTTTTTTATGAAGGGTCCCAGTTGGGGTCTTTTAAATTGTTCCGGGGTGGTTGGTAGGTTTTTTAAGGGTCCCAGTTGGGTTCTGATATTGTTCCAGGGTGGTTGGTAGGTTTTTATTCAAGGGGCCCTGTAGAGTCCTTATAAATTATTCCAGAGTGGTAGGTAGGTTTTTATTCAAGGGTCCCTGTAGAGTACTAATAAATTGTTCCAGGGTGGTAGGTAGGTTTTTATTCAAGGGTCCCTGTAGAGTTCTAATAAATTGTTCCAGGGTGGTAGGTAGGTTTTTATTCAAGGGTCCCTGTAGAGGTAAGCAAGGATCATCGTTTATGTAAAATATTTCTTTTTAAAAGTTCATTCTTGAAATTTCCCAAACGAACAAGTCCGGTTTTGCGAATTTTGTTGAACCATATTTTGACTTGTAATTGAATAGTGGAGCTTTTTTAGATCTCACATTCTTGACATTTGATTTTTAAATTAGCAGAGTGGAAAATTTTCTGCTGAAAGAGAAGCCAAGAAGGGAAATATTGTTAATTAATGGAAAATTTATTGATGTAAAATTTTCAAACTTTGAAAACAAATTAATCTTAGTAAAGAAACTCTTTTAAACTAACAAAACAACTTAGTTAGTCAAGGAGCTAGTCAGCAACTTGGAAATAGGAAACAAAAGAGTCAATATTAATTAAAGAAACTAAGAAAACTACAAGATACCAAACCTTTTAACTTTCGTGCTTAAAATCAAATACCTAACCTTTTGGTTAAATTTAACTACCTAACCTTCTAATACTCTTGGTTAAACTTAACTACCTAACCCTCTAGTATTTTTGGTTAAATTTAACTACCCAACCTTCAAGTACTCTTGGTTAAACTAAACTTCTTGACCTTCTAGTACTCTTGGTTAAACTAAACTTCTTGACCTTCTAGTATTCTTGGATAAACTATACTTCTTGACCTTCTAGTATTCTTGATTAAACTAAACTTCTTGACCTTCTAGTATTCTTGGTTAAACTAAACTACTTGACCTTCTAGTACTCTTGGATAAACTAAACTTCTTGACCTTCTAGTATTCTTGGTTAAACTAAACTTCTTGACCTTCTAGTATTCTTGGATAAACTAAACTTCTTGACCTTCTAGTACTCTTGGTTAAACTAAACTACTTGACCTTCTAGTATTCTTGGATAAACTAAACTTCTTGACCTTCTAGTACTCTTGCTTAAACTAAACTTCTTGACCTTCTAGTAATCTTGGATAAACTAAACTACCTAACCTTCTAGAAACCTTGGATTAACTAAACTACCTAACCTTCTAGTACTCATGGTTAAACTAAACTACTTAACCTTCTAGTACTCTTGATTAAACTAAACTACTTAACCCTTAGTATTCTTGGATAAACTAAACTACCTAACCTTCTAGTACTCTTGGTTAAACTAAACTACCTAACCTTCTAGTACTCTTGGTTAAACTAAACTACCTAACCTTCTAGTACTCTTGGTTAAACTAAACTACTTAACCTTCTAGTATTCTTGGTTAAACTAAACTACTTAGCCTTCTAGTACTCTTGGTTAAACTAAACTACCTATCCTTCTAGTACTCTTGGTTAAACTAAACTACCTAATCTTCCAGAATTCTTGGTTAAACTAAACTACCAAACCTTCTACAGTGAAACCCTTAATAACGAATACATCGGAAGAATTTATCAAATGTCGTCTTGGCAATTTTTCAAAGAGTTTTATACTATATTACTTGAATTTCAGTATTTGCGAAAATAAATAAATAGCTATGAATATGCGGGAACAGTTTTAAAGAGTTCCATATAATCATTTAATTAAAAAACTAAATATCTGCAACATTCCATTATCAGAAAGTGAAGAATACGACATTTGATGAATTCTTTCGCTGTATTCATTATTAAGGGTTTCACTGTAGTACTCTTGGTTAAACTAAGCTACCTAATCTTCCAGAATTCTTGGATAAACTAAACTACCTACCCTTCTAGTATTCTTGGTTAAACTAAACTACCTAACCTTCTAGTGCTCTTGGTTAAACTAAACTACATATCCTTCTAGTACTCTTGGTTAAACTAAACTACTTAACCTTCTAGTATTCTTGGTTAAACTAAACTACCTAACCTTCTAGTACTCTTGGTTAAACTAAACTACCTACCCTTCTAGTATTCTTGGATAAACTAAACTACCTAACCTTCTAGTACTCTTGGTTAAACTAAACTACCTACCCTCCTAGTATTCTTGGTTAAACTAAGCTACTTAACCTTCTAGTATTCTTGGATAAACTAAACTTCCTGTCCTTCTAGAATTCTTGGTTAAACAAAACTTTCTCTCAACATTCTGTATTCTTGGATGAACTAAACTACTTAACCCTTAGTATTCTTGGATAAACTAAACTACCTAACCCTTAGTATTCTCGGATAAACTAAACTACCTAACCCTTAGTATTCTTGGATAAACTAAACTACCTAACCTTCTAGTAACCTTGGATAAACTGAACTACCTAACCCTCCAGTATTCTTGGATAAACTAAACTACCTAACCCTCTAGTATTCTTGGATAAACTAAACTACCTAACCCTTAGTATTCTTGGATAAACTAAACTACCTAACCTTCTAGAAACCTTGGATTAACTAAAGTACCTATTCTTCTAGTGACCTTGGATAAACTAAACTACCTAATCTTCCAGTATTCTTGGATAAACTAAACTACCTAACCTTCTAGAAACCTTGGATTAACTAAACTACCTATCCTTCTAGTAACCTTGGTTAAACTAAACCACCTATCCTTCTAGCATTCTTGGATAAACTAAACTACCTAACCTTCTAGAACCCTTGGATTAACTAAACTACCTATCCTTCTAGTAACCTTGGTTAAACTAAACCACCTATCTTTCTAGTATTCTTGGATAAACTAAACTACCTAACTTCTAGTATTCTTGGATAAACTAAACTACCTAACCTTCTAGTACTCTTGGTTAAACTAAACTACCTACCCTTCTAGTATTCTAGGTTAAACTAAGCTACCTAACCTTCTAGTAACCTTGGATAAACTAAACTACCTAACCCTCTAGTATTCTTGGATAAACTAAACTACCTGTCCTTCTAGTATTCTTGGTTAAACAAAACTTTCTCAGACATTCTGTATTCTTGGATGAACTAAATTACTTAACCCTTAGTATTCTTTGATAAACTAAACTACCTAACCCTTAGTATTCTTGGATAAACTAAACTACCTAACCTTCTAGTATTCTTGGATAAACTGAACTACCTAACCTTCTAGTATTCTTGGATAAACTAAACTACCTATCCTTCTAGTATTTTTGGATGAACTAAACTACCTAACCCTCTAGTATTCTTGGATAAACTAAACTACCTAACCTTCTAGTATTCTTGGTTAAACAACACTATCTCCGACATTCTATATATGTTAGGGTGAAGTATCTAACTCAAATACTTGAAAACCACTTCAGTCTTTCTGTATTCTAGCCTCATTCTTTAACTAAACTCTTTCTGTATTCTAGCCTCATTCTTTTACTAAACTCTTTCCTTTAGAACCAGTCTGAATTCTGTTGATATAATCAGTACAATAATACATTTATATAATACAGTACAGTGGTAGGAGATTATATCAATACAATGAAGACGTATTTTCTATTTAAGTTTGGATTTATAACAAGCTTTTTTTAAATTACAACTTTGGTATATATCAAAATTGAAAGCAAAAGTCGTCTTCATTGTATTGATATATATAATGACATCGATATGTTTACATAAATATAACAATGGACTCATAAGGGTGTGCACTGGCAGAAAAGATGACTTGTATGAACCGAAAGTATTTCAAAACAACTAATTATTTTTTAGAATTTTTTTAACACAAATTTTTAACAATGGACATAGCTTAGTGTTCAGGAAGTGGTTGAGAAAATTATTTATAACACATAAAAAAGTTTTTAGTTTTTGTAGACTTTAACTGTCATTCTATAATATCAGTGTAATTAAGGCATTAAAACACGCATATATATAATACGTAATATTATTATTTCACTATTTAACATCATCTTATACCATTCACTTGAAGAAAAGATTTAGGTTTTGTGTTTTCTTTTCGAAGTATTTGTTTTTTGAGCACATTGATTTCTGATTTAGCGAACTTAGGGCAAGCATGACTTACGAGATGGTTACTGAAAAAAAACTTTACAAAAGTGAAAAAGAGAGAATAAAAATGGAAAAGAATTTTTAGGAATTGTAGCCAGTGGCATCTTAACAGGCCTGACTTAACCTTAAATAATAAGAAATATTTATAATTAAAAGTAATTTTAATGCCAAATTTATCCATTATCGCAAATGTAACCATTATGCCAAATTAATGAAATTGCGCCGAACTCTTGATTTAAATCTAAACTTGTTTTTTTTTTTAAATTAAAAACAGCCAATCTTACTTATACCAATACATACTACATACCAAGAGCACATGAAATGTCGTCTTGAAATTTATTTTAAAATTTATGACAGCTGTAATGCTAAGATGGTCGCAGTTTCAAAGGGTTGAATACGATTTATGAAAATATAATTGTAGAGTCAGGCAGTTTTTGATAATTCTTAAGAAACTTTTTTATGTAAAGTAATTAATAGCCCTGAGATGGAATTTAAAGAATTTGAGCCGCGGTTTAAATCCGCCAAAACCCGGTTTAAATTAAGCGCCGGCTTAAATCTTGAAACATTTGATACAATTTTAAGTGGAACCAACCATATTTAAACCGCGGCTTAAATTTAAACCGCTGCTCAAATTCTTTAAATTCGGCCACTGGAATATGAAGGACAGCCATTACTACAGTAAATTCGTTTTTCCGCGGCATTTGATTTTTGAGAATACAACATTATAAAATCTCTTGCTATGTATTCATATATCTGGGATACACTGTACATCGATCGAATAAAATCACCCAACCTCGACTTTATTAAGGAATGAAATATGTATAATAAATTCACCCAACCTTGACTCTATTAAGAATTATGTAGAATGGAATTAAATTAAAGAGAGTGCAGCAAAGTTAGTTATGAATACTAATGTTTTCTAGAGAATTTAATGAAATTTAATAATTAAATTAGAGATGAAAAATAGAAATTTTACAACAACAAAAATTTCAATTATTTATTTTTAGGTGCGGATACGTGGAGATACCATCGGAGTACTCGATAGAGATAGATTCTATGTTAGATCTCACCATTGCTGAACAGATTTTATCTCAAGAACTATTAAATCTCAACTAGATGATTCTATGCTAGATCTCACCATTGCTGAACAGATTTTATCTCAAGAACTATTAAATCTCAACTAGATGATTCTTTGCTAGATCTCACCATTGCTGAACAGATTTTATCTCAAGAACTATTAAATCTCAACTAGATGATTCTATGCTAGATCTCACCATTGCTGAACAGATTTTATCTCAAGAACTATTAAATCTCAGCTAGATGATTCTATGCTAGATCTCGCCATTACTAAAAAGATTTTATCCCAAGAACTATTAAATCTCTACTAGCTGACTATGCTAGATCTCAGAATTGCAGATTTTATCTCGAATAGTTCCTACAAGGATCTCAGGCTGGATTGGTATCTAAATTTAGTAAATAGGCAAAACCTTATCAAGCCGACCTGTTACTTCTAGGAATATATACAAGGTTACCTACAACTGACGAGACTGTAAAGACGACCTGTTACTTCTAGGAATGTATACAGGGTTACCTACAACTGACGAGACTGTAAAGACGACCTGTTACTTCTAGGAATGAATACAAGGTTACCTACAACTGACGAGACTGTAAGGACGACCTGTTACTTCTAGGAATGTATACAGGGTTACCTACAACTGACGAGACTGTAAGACGACCTGTTGGTTCTAGGAATGTATACAGGGTTACCTACAACTGACAAGACTGTAAGACGACCTGTTGGTTCTAGGGATGTATACAGGGTTACCTACAACTGACAAGACTGTAAGACGACCTGTTGGTTCTAGGGATGTATACAGGGTTACCTACAACTGACGAGACTGTAAAGATGATCTGAAAATCTTGTAATATGACGATATCATGGTCAAAATAAATATATCTGGCTGAGATATAGTCTTCTAATGACATATTTAATAATTGGGTAAGGAAAGAAACAAGTTTACAGTTGTGTCTGATATTATAAAAATAAGGAAACAGAAAACAATTCCGTTCAGTCGTCAGCATGTACCTTTGTACCTTTAACATTTAAATTCGTATTACATATTATTTATTATTTAACGTTATTTTTGTTATTCTTTAAAAGGAGTGTTCGCGAAAAAAAAGCGCTTTTGATTGTTACTAATCTTCTATCTGTTGCTTCTATCAGGAGAAAATGTTTAAAACGACTCATGCTGAAGAACGTAACTTCCATACAAATTCAGAAAGTTGCAACATTCAACTCTGATCGTAAAATAATCAATTTAATTCCAAACAAATCACTCAGCTATTACAAACAGTAGTCATCGATTTTTTTTCGATGATTTTGGATTTTTCGAACATTCCTGGAAAATATGAAACTGTCGTCTTCATTATCAAAAATCCTCGAAACGGGAAAAAATGTTTTCAAAAGTAACAGATCATAAAAAATTAATAATATTATGAATTATCAACTTTTTACGAATGTGTCTAAAAATTATCGATGATTATTAGTTGTAATATCAGAATGATTTGTTTGGAATAAAATTGAATTTTTACGATCCGAGTTGAATGTTGCAACGTTCTGAAATTGTATGGACGTAACGTTCTTCAGCATGAGTCGTTTTAAACAATTTTCGCCTTATAGACGCAACAGATAGAATTAAGATTATTAGGGTACAAAAGCAATTATTTTTCGCTTTTAGCCTATACCCCCTTTATTTTTTCGCGAATACTCCCTTTAAACTCATGTCTTGGCTGTGTTATTTATGTAAAATGTGATCGTTAAATGCATAATTTACAGAAACTTGGAGGATATTGTCCTCGTGTAATAACATATTTACTTCAGAAGATTGCAAATTTTTGACAAGTCATTGAAAATTTGATTTTTTCATGACATATCGTGGACAATCAGTTTTGTGTAGATTCTATTGTAATCTGTTAAAATATTTTTCAGTTAAAAAAAAACATTTACTTAGTAACGTTATTTATCTCTCTATTTATTTATTCACTAATTAAATTTGTTTAAATTTATTTATTTAAAAATAAAATTTACAATTGTATAGTTATGTAATTTTCAAATTTGATTCGAGGATTTGCAAACAGCATATCATTAAATCTGCTAAAACGATGAATGTGAATTATATTAATCATTTTATTAAACATTATGAAACATTAACCCTCCATTTAAAGAGATGGCCATGTACGATTCACAATGGTACCCTTAACACCTTTGTTTGATCAATAATGTGGAAGATATCGTCGTTTAATTCTGATAGTTCATACATTGTATTCGCAGTAGAAAATATCAGTTTTGTAGAAGAAACATCTGGATATCTTGTTCATTCTATATCAGACAAGGCTTTTATGGGTACTGTTGTGCATCGGGTTTGCTACTCTCTGTAAATATGTCAAGTACCCACTCGACATTTAGGGAAATGTTGTTGTTGAGCTCTATGTCGAAAATGTTGAAAGTGAAAAATGTTGTTGAGCTTTATTCTTGCTACTAGCTGCTTATGTTAAAAGTGATAAATGTTGTTGAGCTATATTCTTGCAAATAGCTGCTAATGTTGAAATTGGAAAATGTTGTTGAGCTTTACTCTTGCTACTAGCTGTTTATGTTAAAATGTTGTTGAGCTTTATTCTTGCTACTAGCTGCTTATGTTAAAAGTGATAAATGTTGTTGAGCTATATTCTTGCAAATAGCTGCTAATGTTGAAATTGGAAAATGTTGTTGAGCTTTACTCTTGCTACTAGCTGTTTATGTTAAAAGGGATAAATGTTGTTGAGCTATTTTCTTGCTACTAGCTGCTAATGTTGAAAGTGGAAAATGTTGTTGAGCTTTATTCTTGCTACTAGCTGCTTATGTTAAAATTGATAAATGTTGTTGAGCTATATTCTTGCAAATAGCTCCTAATGTTGAAATTGGAAAATGTTGTTGAGCTTTATTCTTGCTACTAGCTGCTAATGTTGAAAGTGTAAAATGTTCTTGTGCTTTATTCTTACTCCAAGCTGCTAATGTTGAACTCTGCTGACAATGCTGCGAGATCTTTCTTGTCAGTCAACTCCTAAAAGAAAAAAAGTTGGTCGATCCAGGACACATTGAACTAAAATTTTGGTTACAGAGGAATTGAGCCTTTGTCACAAACTCTGAATTTTTAGTCCCTTGATCTTTGCAACCCAATTTAGTCCCTTGATCTTTGTAACCCAATTTAGTCCCTTGATCTTTGCAACCCAATTTAGTCCCTTGATCTTTGCAACCCAATTTAGTCCCTTGATCTTTGCAACCCAATTTAGTCCCTTGATCTTTGCAACCCAATTTAGTCCCTTGATCTTTGCAACCCAATTTAGTCCCTTGATCTTTGCAACCCAATTTAGTCCCTTGATCTTTGCAACCCAATTTAGTCCCTTGATCTTTGCAACCCAATTTAGTCCCTTGATCTTTGCAACCCTATTTCGTGTAAAGCTTAGATAGTTCATAGTATGAATTCTGTAGGATCAAATAATCTTAATTTGAAATATCAAAGGTTTACACTCAGGTTGCGAAGATATTGGGATGAGAAAATTTGAGTTTGTGGGAAAGAATAAATTCCATCAATCTCCCCCAAAATAAAAAATAACTATTCTTTGCAGTTAGGTTATTGCTTGGTGGACTAAGGCGAGGTGTTGGACATTTCTAATCACAATACCTTTAGATCAGGTCGGTTTATGAAGCTGACCGCTAGTCGAAGAGAAGACCAGATTGTTTCAGACATGGTAGATTCTGAACCCCCTGGTCCTCGTCCAGTAGCCTAATTTTTATATTTCTTAAAGGGAGTGTTCGCGAAAAATTAAAGGGGGTATGGGCTTAAGGCGAAAAGTAATCGCTTTTGATCGCTAATAATCTTACTTCTATCTGTTACGATTATAAGGAGAAAATTGTTAAAAACGACAAATACTGAAGAACGTAGCGTCCATGCAAATTCACATAGTTGAAATATACCACTCAGATCGTAAAAACAATCAATTTAATTTCAAACATATCGTTGTGATACTACAACCCATAGTCATCAATATTTTTCGACGCGTTCGTATATAATCAATATTTCATAATATTTTTTATTCGTTTTGTATACAATGCACTTAAAACGCCAGATTTCTCGGCTCTCGGTGCTTTGAATGATTTCAAGTAGCAGAGACACCTAGCGGAAAAGTCGTTTTAAGTGAATTTGTATACAAAACAATTAACAAATATTATGAAAAATTAACTAAATACGAATGCGTTGAAAAATAATCGATGACTATTATTTGTTATTTCTGATTGATTTGTTTGGAATAAAATTGATTATTTTATGATCCACGTCATATATTTCAACTTTCTGAATTTGTATAGATGCTACGTTCTTCAATATAAGTCGTTTTTAACCATATTCTCCTTATAGACGCAACAGATAGAAGTAAGATTAGAAGCGATCAAAAGCGATTATTTTTCGCCGTAAGTCTATGCCCCTTTTCATTTTTTCGCGAACACTCCCTTTAATTATTATTTAACTTTTTTCATTTGGTTTGTTTTATTATTTTATATCTCACTTTTATGATAAATATATCATTATTATTATTATTATTATTATCATATTTATTATGAACCATCTTGGAACCCCAGCTTTGCCTGGCGTTCATCATTGTTCATCATTGTTCATCATTGTTCATCATTGTTCATCATTGTTCATCATTGTTTTATCATCGTTCATCATTGTTCATCATTGTTCATCATTGTTCATCATTGTGCATCATTGTTCATCATTGTTCATCATTGTTCATCATCGTTCATCATTGTTCATCATTGTTCATCATTGTTCATCATCGTTCATCATTGTTCATCATCGTTCATCATCGTTCATCATTGTTCATAATTGTTCATTATTGTTCATCATTGTTCATCATTGTTCATCATTGTTCATCATTTTTCATCATTGTTCATCATTGTTCATCATTGTTCATCATCGTTCATCATTTTTTATCATCGTCATCGTCATCGTCATTGTTAATGTTATTGTTCTTGTTATTATTATCATTATCATTATTATCATTATTATCATCATTACTATTATTATTATTATTATTATTATTATTTTCATTATAATCCTTACCTGGAAGTTAAGTGCAGTTAGGAAGTGTTCTGCTGCTTCTTTGTATGCTTTCAGGTTTATACAGGATATCCCAAGATTGTAACGACACCGGATGTATCCAGGACTATACCTTTAATCATTATTCATATTCAATACTTTCAATTCATTCATTCATTTTCTTTTATGTGATGATTTCGTCTGTATAATAAAGGTCTTAACTAACTATATATATAGTTTAATGTTATCAATAGCTGGCCAAGCGTAGGAACCAAATTGGCTGACATTTTTTTCAGAAAACCCGGACATGGATACTCAGACTCTGGGGGTGAAAATTAACATACACATTTGTCTTCAAGATTTCAAAAAAAAACACCAAGTTGATTTTAAAATTCCATGGGCAAAGCCGGGTACGTAAGCTAGTCGTATATTAAACTCCTAAACATCAAAATAATTCCTAAGTAAACCCGTTCATGCATCTAAGCATTAGTTAAACTCCTTTTCTCTATGATGTAATGAAACGTATATAATTTATGCCTACACAAAAGTTTACCATTAAAGATTCGACTGTAAAAAGAGGCGAAGAAGGGGGATAATTGGCGATGGAGGGAACCCCACCGACGTCATGAGCCTCCGCTATGCAGACCTGAGCCTCCCAGATTTGCTAGGCAGACAGAGCCTCCGCTATGCAGAAGGGAGCATGCGCAATACATCAAAATGTGCCTGTGTAGTACAGAATGTTTTTTAAACTTGTGTTTTAAGTTTAAATAAAAGATTTTTTTCAAAGTTTATGACACAGTGGTAGAGAGGTAAAACATTAAACTTTAAACATTTTTACATTAAAAAGAAAATATTTAGAGTAAACATTTGAATTTGATTGCATTTCATCTTTTGTAATCTTTGATTTAAGCAATGCCTTTTATGTAGTTGAATCTTATCATTTATTTAAATCTTTTTTGAAAAAAGGTATTGTTTAAATCAAAGATTACAACAAAACAAACTAAATTTACTCCAGAAATATTTCTCCAAATATCTTACTTTCTGCGTAAGAAATATTTAAAGTTTTAGTATAAATCTTATAAACCACTTTATGAGTCCATATATGTGTCTAATCATGACAATCAATAAATAACTCTAATCTTTAGTAAAATTCGTATGCCACTACGTCAAAAAAAAACTGTTAAAACTTTTCAGTACACATAAAAACCAAGATTTAAAAAAAGCTGTGCTAGAGGAGGCACGGTCTGCATATCGGAGGCTTGGTCTGCATAGTGGAGGCTCGGTCTGCCTTGCAAATCTAAGAATCTCGTGTCCATGCATAGCGGAGGCTCATGGCGCCCGGGGGTTCCCTCCCTCAGTGGGCTATTGTGGCTCAGCCCCATCTCTGAATCGCCCCAGACTGTAATATATTGGGGATATTTTCTATTATTAAATAAAAGGTGAAGGTAAATGGGATCTAATTTTGTCAAGATAATCTATTTTTAGTTTTGCAGCTTTTTACTTCTTTCGGGAAATGGATGAAAATAATGAATGAAAATTGTTGTATAGAAGTGCTGAAGTAAAAATCGCTCTTTAAGACATGAAATCACTCTTTATAAAAATCAAAATCATTTAAATGTTTGTAGCACTAACGTTAAGTAAAAAATATATATAAAGCTGAAAATTTCATACATACATATATCTTATATATTTCATACATACATATATCTTATATATTTCTTACATACATATATCTTATATATTTCATACATACATATATCTTATATATTTCATATAGATACATGATAAACTTAAACATTCCCTTGATCAAGCATTTAGTTGAATATTTAACATTAAAAGAAAACAAATTCAGAAAATGTTGTCCAAACAAAACCAAAAATTATTCTTTAAGATTAAGCCCCTTCTCAAAATTAACAAATTAAAGTATATATATCGAATGTATACCTAGGAACTGTATGATTAAAATATATGGAATGTATATTGTATACCTAAGAGCTATATGATGAAAGTAGATGGAATGTATATTGTATACCTTAGAGCTGTATGATATGCTGAAACCGCTTCCTCCGATCTATTCCCGTTAGCAAGAGTAGCTCCTAACCTAAAGAAAGGGATGGTGCATTCAACTCAATTTTGAATTTGGGATTTGTATAAACATCAAATAGAGATTTTTAACAATTTATTATTTTTGAGTATTTAATCTTATAAATTGGATACAGTTGATACAGTTGTGTTGTCTAACTCAAGAATGTCTGACTTAACAAGCTGATTGAAGGTTAATGCAGTGCTGACTAAGCTTCAATTCAAACTTAAAATATATTTTCTGAAATGGAGGTAAAATGAAGGGGGGAGGGAGGATGTATTCCTGTCCTATCTCGCTATCTCTTGATTTCTCCATTCGCCAACGGGAAAATTGATAATTGATGCTGTAGAGCTAAACATCGGAGTTCCTACCATTTTTAATGTTCAATTTTCTTTTTTCTTGTTTGTAGGTTTCTGCAATTTTTTTTGAGTTCTATGTCTTAATCCTGGTTACGCCTGGTGGTCTTAAAAGTGGAGCCCACAACATTTGTCCACTAAGAATTCAATTCCAAATGCTGTGGGCGACAAATAGGTAGGATTGAGGTGTAGGAGTTAGAAGGTTGGATTGGTCAGGAAGGGAGGGTATCGAGGGACTCCCATAGCATAGAAAATCCCTACTTTCCTCCAATCTTGTAGTGTTTCCCACTCTACGGAATTTAAGGGGTTGCACCGCATTACAAAATGGTGAGTTGTTGGCTTTGTTGCTCCAGGATGTGGTATTTTTGACAGTACTTCAGTCTTCATGGTCGGCCTGAATCACAGCCAGTAGAGTAAACCCACCTCTCAGGATTCTTCTTTCTAGGTTTCTATTTTTCTTGATTTTAGCGAGCTATTTTCTTTCTTTATTTTTGAGGTGTGGTGACGCCATGTTTAATTTGCACAGAGCTCGACTGTCTGAGCTACTTAGAGCTAATTAGAGCAGAGTACTTCTTTCTATGTCCTAACCTTTCCATTGCTAGCTGACAACTAAACATCAAAGAGAATATTAACGTTATCTACAATATCACTAATATATCACGAAAAAATATTACAAAGACCAAAAGTAAAAAAAAAATCTCGACAATTGACGAATATACATTGTGAATCGTCAACATCACGATATAAACATAAAACTCTTTTTCTTATTTACATAAACCATGGTTACCTATTCCAAAGCAGAGAATCATCAGGGTTGGAGATTAAAGCTGCTTTAAAACAATCCACAGCCTAAAAAATCATAAATGGTTTTTTATACAAATCTTTAATCTCCTACACGGTTAATCCTTAAATGTCAATTTTGTCACTTTTTTCCCTGTGAGAAAGAAATTAAGTCTTTGCCGTAAACACAAATTTTCTGCACTCTATATTTTTGCAACCCGGTGTTAAAAAATAAAAAGCTCTTTGCTTCATATATATATATATATATATATATATATAAATATTTCAGTTTTTAACTTCGCATTTTTATTAAAAAAAGAATTATGCTAAACATTTAATAAAAATGTGTAGTTAAAAACTGAAATATAAATCTCCGCTGGTATATACGGTGTTGAGAACTCTGCAGTCCTATACTTCTACAAAACTATATATACAGGGTGTCCCAAAAAACATGGGAATTCAGTGACGAATTCGATATCGTCTTTGTTATGAATTAGCATTGTAATACCTAATTTCAAAAGCCATAATGGTATTATGTCTGCTAGAGTTTATTTAATGAAAAGGGTAAAAGACTGCAAAGATGTGTCTATAATGTTTCCGCAATATGAACAGTGAATACGGACAAGTCTACTCTGTTTGTATACTGTAATTTTCTTGTTTTACTAAGTACAACCGGTTGCAGTCAAAACATAAACAAACAAAATGTAAACATAGCAGACGAAACTCTTACAGATTACAGCTTTCTCAGTAGGTATCACTATACTAAATCAAAGAATTATTTGAACAGACGATATCGAATTCGACACTGAATTCCCATGTTTTTTTGGGACACCCTGTATATAAACATATTTGTTATCTATAGCTGGCCAAACGGCTGGATAAATTTGCTGACATTTTTTTAGGAAACCCATGCGTACTCTCAACTCTGACGGTTACATAGGCTAAAAAAATTCTATTTTATTTTTTTTAATTCGGGAAACGCCGGGACTAGTAAATAATAAACTAAGCGTGAAAATTATACAGTGTACAAAGTACAATGTACATACACTGTACTACTGTACATGTAAAAAGTTGTGTTCTATTCTATGCATTTGTAAAAGAATGAGATAGGAAGATGGATTGTGACAGATAGAGGGGATTTATATCTAAATCCTACCTTATCGTAATCCCCTGAGAGGTTAAAAAGTATTCCTAATCCCGCCTGAAATATGGGATTAAAGATAGAAAGATAGATTCTCCGGAGAAAAGAAATCTAATCATACTGAAGAGGTAAAACAGAAAATATTCCTTTAAGAAAATAATATACAGGGGGTCTTTAAAACAAATTTCATTGAAACAATACATTGACTTTTGCAAAATTTAATTGCTGCACTACTTAAGTCTATACCCCGGCCATTGTACACTCACAAATTAAGTTCTTTTTAATATTTTTTAACAAAAAATTAAAATAACTTTAAACCTGTATATTTGGGTCTAAGTTCGAACCCTCCTACAGTCTGGCAGCCTTCATAATGTTATGAATAAAAAATTAATAATGTATCATTTGAAAATATGCTTTTTAAGGTCACTAAAATGACATAGATTAAGATGACCCCCATTTATTATAGAGCGGCATGTATTTCGACGAAAAAATCAAGTTTTTAATTCTTTTTAACCTTGCTTAACATAAAAACTAGATTATGACATTTTATGGAGGGTGGAGGGCATTGGCAATAGTTCTCCCCCCCCCAAAAAAAAATAAAGTTTTGAGATAGATGAGCTTGGTTACGTGGTACCCTCAACGATACCAATGCACAATACACATCACACAATCCCTTGACAAGTACTGTATACGTTATTCTAGTGACCAAACATTTATAGAGTGACAGGGTCCGACTCACAACGATACCCTTTAAACATCATTTTTCGATCGTCGACTACGGAGAAATACTTTAAATATAGCAATGCATTTATGTAACATTACAATTTGAGGGGATAAATAAGTAAAGCTCAATTTTAAGTTTGAAAAATAAGGATTAGCCTTTCAATCTTTACTTTGTGGCGTTTAGTGGGAAAAAATGATATGCTTTAACTAAAATAATTAGGCCTGAGCCCAAAACTTAAGACAGGGTATCGTTCTGAGAACCAATTTTAAAACCTGGGTTTCACGAATGGGGTCGAGCAGTTTTACGAATATCAATATTTTTTTATATGAAACATTATTTTATTCAGTAATTGTTTATATTCTCAATTTTTTTCGAATCTCTTCAATCAAAATCTACTTAAATGTTAAGACCCTAAAAAGGAAACTTTGGAGTTTTGTCCAACAATACTCTTTTAAATTTCGGGCTCCGGTGGGTGGGGTTTGAATGTAGATACATTTGACCGATTCGTTAGACATTTTCTAGCTAAGATTTAACCTAGTTATGTTGAGAAATCGCAGCTAAATCATAGCTAGAGAATGTTCAACGAATCGGATAATTGTATGTTATATCCAGGGGTTAAAATGAATATGGACACTGCGTAATTATTTAGCAATTTGTTCAATAACAAACAAATTTCAAAAATTAAAAATAAAATTTTGTTCAAACATTTCCTGAACATACCAGTCCGTTGTCTGTTGATGTAAGTCCTAAAATAGTTTAAAATAAATATTGTTAACAATGATGGAATAAACACATTTTTTAGAAATTTATTTTGAGGTTTTACCTGAGACATGAAAGAGCTGTTAAATGAAATTTTGTCGATTGGATTTACCACTAGATGGCCGTAATCTTCATGGTTTTGTAACCACATAGTTAGAGCCTGACATGCCTAAATTAATTTATATAACGATATTTGTTTAATTAGTTAAAAACTAATTTGGTGGTAATCTTCTTTATACTGTAACAAATGGCATGCCTAAATTATTTTATATAAAGATATTTGTTTAATTAGTTAAAAATTAATTTGGTGGTAATCTTCACTATTCTGTAACGAATGGCATGCCTAAATTAGTTTATATAAGATATTTTTCTGATTTAGTTAAAAACTAAATTTGGTTGTAATCTTCACTATTCTGTAACGAATGACATGCCTAAATTAATTTCTAAAAGATATAAAAATTATTATGATGGTGCACAATTTACTCTATATAATATCAAAATATTTAGATGTGGAAAGAACCCAAATAGCATGTTATGTTTAATATAATAATTGCAGCATCCTGTTCAGAACGTTTTTCATTTCAAAGCTAGTTGGTTAACAGTGTCCAGTACACCTAACGAATTAAAAAATTCTGGAATAAAAACATGAAAATTCGCAAAACTTTTCAATGTTAATGTTTTTAAATCTAAGAACAGAAAGGCAACTAATTTTTTATAAATAACGTTGAATTGTATTTTCAATGTTTCCAATCAATCAATCAATCAATCACGCATACCTGAGCTTGGTAGGATTCGTTTGTAAGACTAACCGCAAGGCTCATCAGTGCAGTTCGCTCCGTAGGGTCAAGAGACAAACATTTTCGCAGCGCAGAAATTGCCTAAATCAAAACAGTTATTTTAAAATTTACTTTTTATCTTATTTGATACAAAACTTCGCAAAGATGTAGTCTATCCCAAATATTTGCAAGTAATGTTTGCCAAAATCTGGTGCAAAATACTTGAACTATAAAATGACTTGACAAAGTTTGTGAATTTGCAAAGATTAACCTGAATTATGTTTCAAATATTCCAAAACTTTATTCAACATTAAACACTGTCAACTTTAAAAGGAGAGCAAACAAAATACCTATCAGGAAGTAGGAAACATGAAACAAATAGCTATCAGGAAGTAGGAAACAGGAAACAAAACACCTATAATGAAACAGGAAACAAGAAACAAAACACATAACAGAAAGCAGGAAACAGGAAACAAAACACCTATCAGGAAACAGGAAACAAAATGCCTATCAGTAAGCAGGAAACCTGAAACAAATAGCTATCAGGAGGCAGGAAACATGAAACAAAACAGCTATCAGGTAGCAGGAAACAGGAAACAAAACACCTATAAGGAAGTAGGAAACAGGAAACAAAACACCTATTTGGAAGCAGGAAACAGGAAACAAGACACCTATCAGAAAGAAGGAAACAGGAAACAAAACACCTATCAGGAAGCAGGAAACAGAAAACAAAACACCTATCAGGAAGCAGGAAACAGGAAACAAGATATCTACCAGGAAGTAGGAAACAGGCAACAAAACACCTATTAGGAAGCAGGAAACAGGAAACAAGAAACCTATCAGAAAGAAGGAAACAGGAAACAAAACACCTATCAGGAAGCAGAAAACTGGAAACAAAATATCTACCAGGAAGCAGGAAACAGGAAACAAAACACATATCAGGAGAAAGGAAGCAGGAAACAAAACACCTATCAGGAAACAGTAAGTAGGAAACATAACACCTATCAGGAAGGAGGAAACAGGAAACAAAACACATATCAGGAGGCAGGAAGCAGGAATCATAAAACAAAACACCTATCATGAAGCAGGAAGCAGGAAACAATACACCTATTAGGAAGCAGGAAACAGTACAATATTTTGTGCCCCCCCCCCTAAAAAAAACCTTTTTTTGAAAAAAATATTGATACCTTTTTTTACTAGTAAACTATTCGATCATATACACACTGCCATTTAATAATTATTTATGTAATTAATTTTCTTACATAAATAATTTATAATACATAATAATTTTCTTAATACTGTGGTGTAAGTTTCAATGGGTGAAAAATAGAGATGGAAGCGTTTATTAAAAAATATCTTCTGTTTCATAGAAACGATACATATTGTATGATTTAATTAATGATATCAAAGATATATTTACACTGAAGGCAGTATTTATTTTAGCTTTTTAATGAAACTTTTTTATTTAAGGGCAAAAGTGAGATCTTTAAGTATTTTTATATGGGTGACCCCCCCCCCCCTCTAGATTCGAAATGAATTTTAAAAACAATAGGTGGCAACAGAAAAAAATTTTAAGTGGCCAAATAGTCTCGAAAAGTAATAGGGTCCTGGATTTTATAATTCATATATCTTAGCAACTCAATGTCGTTAGATATTCTAAACTATGAGCTTTGTTGGATAAAATAAGTTTTAAATATTAAAGGTTTACACAATCAGGTTGCAAAGATATAGGGATTAGAATATTTGATTGTTGGGCAGAGACTCAACTCCTTAGAAAGCAAACTATTAACAGTTCTTATGTTTTTACTTTAGATCGTTTTTAAACAAATCCCAACCCTACTCTCTAGCACTAGAATTATATCATTTTCTTCTCAATATATTTCGCCAAAAACTTTGGCATCATCAGGAGTTAGTCCTATAATATAACAGATATAAGCAAAAAATAAAAATAAAAAATACAAACACAGCAACTATAATAAATACAGAAGAGAACAAAAATAAAAATCTTTTTTATGTAAAATGGAATTTTTCAAAATGAATATTGTCAGAACACATAAAACTTAAAAGAAAAATTAGAAAACCGTACCTTACTCTTTTGAAGAGTATTGAATGACTGGGAAAGGATTGACTAGTTTATGGGCGTATGCAGTGGGGGAAGGGGGGGGGGGAGTGTTGAAGGGGTTAGAATTCGTCGACAAAACGGTCAAATACATGAATTCAATCAACACTATAAGGTACTGTTGGTAATACATATACATACAGTTTAAAACAAACAAAATTTATTTTTTAAAAAAAGATTGCAATTAGCATTATGTTTTCTTGTTCAGTCCTGACCTCACTGAGTCAAATTTCTGGATGTAGTATGACTCCCTGACCTTCCTGACCATGCTATCCCTGGACCTGATCTTCTCTATGGGAATGAAGGATAAATCTGCATATGAGTGGCCAGGGGCACGAAAGTGTACACCTACAGGGGCCTGGGTATTTTCTTGTCCTAGCTGTGTAATGGTGCCTCTGTGACCCCTCAGCCTTTCTTTAGCCTCCTTCCCTGTCTCTCCTATATATTGAGGATGGGAAGGACAAACTCGGCCTCCTCTCCTACATGTAATCATGATTATAATATTTGAGGAGGAGCAGGTCAGCTTATCCTTAATCCTCATCTTTTCTCCAGTAGCCGAGATTATCACCTCTTCAACAGAATTCTTTCCCATCTGTTCACATACAGGGCAGCGAGATTTATTACAGGGTTTAAACCCAACCTTATCTCTTTTTTCCCTTGTGAATCCCTGTCTACTTGGAAGTTTAGACTTAACCAAGAGATCCTTCAAATTCTCCACTCTCTGGTAGCATACCATAGGAGGAGAGGGGTAGATTTTCTTCATTACTGGATCTTCTATTAGAGTCTTCCAGGATGATCTTAGAGTTTCAGAGAACCTAGGCAGTCTAGGGTCATATTTGACAATAAACCTGGTTCTATCATTCTCTACCCTGCTACTCACAACCTTCTTCAGTGCCTGCTCTCTTTTTATCTTCCTCACATCCATGAAGGAAGATTTAATGGATCTTCTCCTGTATCCTCTCTCAACCAAATCTTCTTCCAGTTCTTCTAGTCTTTTCTCTAATAACTCTTCACTCCAGCAGATTCTGAGTGCTCTGTATCCTAGTGAGAACGGTATATTCTTAGTTATATGGTTAGGATGACAGCTGGAAGGAAGAAGATAGTTATTCTTCTTGTTTTCCTTCTTGTATGTTTTTACCTGTGGATCCTGTTCATTCTGAGCTTGAGCTTGTCCTAGGAGCAGCCAAGCCTCTCTGTTGTCAGCATCTTGACGAACAGCAGCTTCAAATAGCAGAACAGCACTGGGCAGGTCCCCTTCCTAGGCACACAGAAGCTCGGACACTAGTTTTTGTTTACTTTCATCTTTTGATCTGGCAAAATTCCTGGTTTTAAACATCTGGTGCAAGATTTTCAATTAAAAAATTACATTTTGACAATACCACCATTCTTTAAGGTTGACCATAATTCTTACGCTTTTCATTTTTTTATTCCATTTAAAAAAAACCCTCCCCTAATTTCCTTACTTTTTTATAAGTTTCTAGAAAGTTTTTTGTTACATTATCTTTATTTTTAATTTGTAATAATTTTGGTCATTTTCTGAAGGACTGAAGAGGATATAAAATATATAGAAATTAATTTCCAAACCCGAGTTTTTCTACCTGTGAGAGTGAAACCTTTTTTTGCCAGTTTGGACAATTTACATTTAAAAATTACATTATTTGGCGAATAATCAGTTTCTTTAGTGATGATTTAAAAAAAAAATACTAGCATATAAAATACATTCGTCTATTATAAAGGTAGGGGTACCTAAAAGTGGGTTTCATTGAGACATAAATTTTTTTACTTCTTTTAAACTTAACTGAACAATCTTCCAGAAACTCTAATTTTCTTTGCATATTCATTTCAAACTATGAATTTCGCTAGGTCTTCAATAAGTCTAAGTTTGAATTATAAAAAGTTTACACCATCAGGACATGGGACTCACCATCAGGACATGGGACTCACCATCAGGACATGGGACTCAACATCAGGACATGGGACTTGAAATTTGTGTTTTCTAGTTCACGGAAAATGTCAAATCCTTGCACCAGCAAAAATTATACAGTAGCAAATTAGAAGCAACATTTAAAAAAGAAAAAAATTGAAGAATTTAAAACTCATTTAATAATATATTCAGAAAAACATGCGCCATGAACTGCCGGATACCTGGATACCTGGATACCTGGATACCTGGATACCTGGATACCTGAATACATGGATACCTGGATACCTGGATACCTGAATACCTGGATACCTGGATACCTGGATACCTGAATACATGGATACCTGGATACCTGGATACCTGGATACCTGGATACCGTCTCAATGTCAAAAATTAAGGCAAAATAACTGCTCTTTTTAAAATATCTTTAAAAAATCACCTTTACTTTAAATTTATTCAATTTTCTACGGGATTTGTTTCAAGACAGATATTTTTTTCTTGCTTACATTTGATTGATAAATGAGTTAAAAAATTAAAGAAAAAAATGCAAAACTCTTTTATTTAACTGTATGAAAGAAAACTTTAGAACTTGTGGAAAAGGTGGATTTAAACATTTGTATCAAAAAAGTGTCCCATAGTTTGAGAGGAGAGTAAACAGTTTCATATTTAGTGGAACTCCCTGGGGGTTGAGTAAAACATGATGTTTAATCTGAACCAACCTTTAATTTCTGTTTTCCTTCCTCTAAATGATTAATATTTGAATTCTCTGCTGCTGAGTTCTCTTCCTGTGATATTTATTTAGTAATAATTGTTTAATAAATAATGATAAAAAGCACGAAACCATTGAATCGGCAAAATATTTCAATAGAATTTACTTTCTATGTGAAATATAAATAAATTAATGGTTTTAAAAATTTATGGTTTGCATAAAGAGAAGTTTTTTTTTACTTTAAATCTCTATTTTGAAATGTTGAGGACAGATCGTTTCAGAATTAGACCTTGGATCAACTTTAAGGTAAGGAAAACATAAACAAAAATATAACAAGCAGTTTTTTACTCAAACCTACCCACCAAACAAGAATCGAGTTATACCTACCCAGTAAACACAAGTCGAGTTATACCTACCCAGTAAACACAAGTCGAGTTATACCTACCCAACAAACACGAGTCGAGTTATACCAACCTTAAATTAAACCTACCCAGCAAACAAGAGTCGAGATAAAACCACTAAGTAAACAAGAGTTGAGTTATACCTACCCAGCAAACAAGAGTCTAGTTATACCTACCCAGCAAACATGAGTCGAGTTAAACCTACCCAGTAAACAAAAGTTGAGTTAAACCTACTCAGCAACCAAGAGTAGAGTTAAACCTACCCACCAAACAAGAGTCGAGTTAAACCTACCCACCAAACAAGAGTCGATATAAACCCACTGAGCAAACAAGAATCGAGTTATACCTACCTTGAATTAAACCTACCCAGAAAACACCAGTCGAGTTAAACCTACTCAGCAACTAAGAGTAGAGTTATACCTACCCAGCAAACAAAAGTTGAGTTAAACCTACTCAGCAACCAAGAGTAGAGTTAAACCTACCCAGCAAACAAAATTCAAGTTAATCTGAAAAAGCTAGAGTTTTGACCACAGGAAATCACCTTCTTGCAAGAACACGCAACCACAGAAGAGACCCCAATCAAAAATTTTATTCCCTTTTTTTAATCTATAAAATCTCTGTTTGGTAAAATAAAATTGAACAGAACCTGTTTGTCTGTTAACATCACATTTAGATAAAGAAAACAAAAACAGAAATAACAAGAATCTCCTTATAAATGTAATGGAATTTAGCTGACGGGGGATTTAAGGTTTAGAAGTTAAACATCACCTGAAACTGGTACTCCGAGAAGGGTTCATAGGCCGCAGAATAGTCCTAGAAACAACAATTCATTTCAATAAAGAAAGAGAAAAGACCAGAAAAGAAAAAAAATGAATCTGTTCATAAATCTGTTCTGATATTATAATCCCTATACTTTAGCAACCTTATCAAATAATCAAATAATCTAAGTTTGTAATAACAAAAGTTTACACAATCAGGTTGCAAAGATATAGGGATTTGAAAGAAACCAAGGAAGGGTAAAAACGAAGATAGATGATAAGAAAGAAACCAACATTGAAATAATGAAATAACTTATATCTTACAGACAGTAGGAATCATTGGGTTCAAGAAAAATGGAGAGAACCAAACAAAAAAGTAAAACAAAAAGTTTGACAGACAAAAAAGTAAAACAAAACGTATGACACACAAAAAAGCCAAACATAAACCTTCAATGCAAAAACAAGACAGAAAAAAGAGAATAAACAAAAACAAAAAAGTATTTAGAAAAAAAATAAACAAAAGACAAAAAAATCCGAAATAAGATTTAATAATACCTGTATCCAGGGATGATTATCATCACCCGCCATTTCTCTCCACTCATCTTCAAGATTCTTCCAGAAATCCTGAATTTTCATATTTTGTCTCTTAATTATTTCTCGTCTATTAGAAATAAAAAAATGTGCAAAAAATTGTTATTCCAATCCTTCTTTTTTTTTGATGATTGTTTAACATTTTTTCTGACTTTAAACCTTTCTGTATGCCTCTGTATTAGACTATATGTTTGTCTGTGAATCTGTCTATACCTGTCTTTATACCTCTGTATTAGACTGTATGTTTGTCTATACATCTGTCTATACCTGTCTATATGCCTCTGTATTTGACTGTATGTTTGTTTGTAGGTCTGTCTGTGCTGTATTTAGGAACTCCTGAGCCCACTCTTCTGCCCCAGAACCAGGACTCCTTTCTTCTAGAAAATACTGAGTGTCCCAAAAAAATACTCTAATATGGACTGAAAGATTAATTTAAAGTAACCCTCCATGCACAGCTAGCAATGACCGAATCACACATTGGTCTCCTTTAAACTTTATTTGATCAATACTGTGAAAAATATTGTCAATTTCTAGGTTCAAAAGGGTTTATTTCTGATAATCCTTTAAACGTTTTCCTGCAGAATAATTGCACAGTTTACTTTTATAGAAAAATTTCAATTGAAAAATTAAGTGAAAAATTAAGAAAGTTTCTTAACTCAAAGCTTTTAAGGGTTCCGTTGTGAATGAGGCATTCTCATTTTTGTATGAACTAGGTGGAGGCCCATGGTGTCCGGGGTTTCCCACCCTCCCCTGACATTGAGGCATCTGTTCGCTAGTCCCACAGTCTGAGTGGTTAAAGATTCTGGGCAGGAGAGTCATTGACATGAGGCTGAAGGGTAAACCATTTAACCGGTTTGAACAAGGCCACAAAGGAATGGTGCTCCTTGATCATGGATTATATCTTATATGATACTGTACTGCTCTACTTGGATTTAAACCTGGGACTATCAGAGCCCCTCCAGTGTAGTCAGACCTACCATCCAAGTCTACATCCAAGCCTGAGTAGTCCTGAGCCCGCGATTTAAAAGCTTCGGCTCGAGCCGTAATTCCTTAAACCCGACTTTAAGACCCAATCTTAGACCCAACTCTGACGACAGCTTGTGTCACGTGATTGACAGTTGTGAGATCTTAGGCTCGACTTAAGGAGTTAGGCCCAATGCAAATAAAACCGACCTTGGTTGGTTTTAGTGAAGAAGAAGGCTCAATGTTGGGACTTATTCTCATCAAAACCCGGAATGCACCAATTCCTACAATGAAAATCCGCCAAATACAAGATTAAACCGGTTTTATGAACTAAATTCTGTTTAAAAATAGATGCAACTTAAATTCGAAAACCCGAGCCGTAAATAAGGCTCAACAACAGCTTAGACCCGAGTCGTATTTTCTTGAATTTTTTAAATCGCCGGCTCAGGGTGATTTCACATCTTCCAGGACTGCTGACATTATTCCAATTGCCCAGGACCTGAAGATATCCTAAGGGTTTTGCCACAGTCCTGTGCTTGATGGGCATTGGCCCAATATCAGTAAACCCTATATTGACTAAGAGGTGGATTTCGGGACCTGCAAGATAAATTCAGCAACCAAGGCCTAAATCCAGCTCTTTAATTGTGGCTTTAGACACAACCATGTCCTTGACAACATAGAAGATTGAAGGAACGGCACATCACTCCCACAGTCTCTGGGTAGTTGAGGATCTGTTTCTGGGTACAGCTAATAGTAGTATGAGTGTAGGCTCCAGTTGTTGATATCATCCTAGCCTCTCAGGCCTTAACCAGGTTCCAACTCTTGACACTGAGGTCCACCCCTAAATACTTTGCTCTCAAAGACGTTTCAGGCTGAGCTTGTCCCCTTAGACAACCCAGCAGGCGCCTGTAAAGTCTGAGAATAATTTTACTGTTTTCTCCACCACAAGCTTCATCCTTATATCTGTGCAGAACTAATGTACAGTTCTCATGAGTCTGTTTATCCCACAGATCCTAGTCAGTGAAATCAACACCAGATCATCTGCAAACAGCAGAGCTGATACAATGACCCCCGTGAAATTAACTCCCTCCTACATGGCATGAAGAACTATCCTCAAGCCAGAGAGATACAGAACAAAAAGAAGAGGAGAAAGAAGTTTTTCTTTACTTCTTTACATCCACTCATTCTTGTTCAATAGTAGTAACCAATTTCTTAACTTTCTCACCTAGTTTATTATGAGTTGCTTCTCTCATTCACTTTTAGATTGATGTTTGAGTACTGGCACTGTCAACCCATTCAATAGATTTATTTGTGAAGCAAAAGTACCCCTTGCAAGTGCACTTATCCAATCAAACACTTACTCACTTACTCACTTGATCACTAAAACACTCTGACCTTTAAACACATTATCAACCTAAACACTTACACACTTAACCACTTAAAACATTTACCCACTAAAGTGGTTTAACTTTTAATACTTAAATACTTAAATACTTAAACACTTAAACACTTGAAATTTAACCACTGAACCCCTTACCCACTAAAACATTTAATCATTCAAACACTTAAACAATTAAACCCTTAAACACTTAAACACTTTAACACTTAACCACTTAACCACTTAGCAACAATTGAACACTTACACCATTAAACACTTAAACACTTACTCACTCTGACACTTTAAGCCTTCAACATTTTTACACTTTAACACTTCATCCCTGAAACACTTAATCATTTAACCACTTAACCAATTAAACGCTGTAACACTAAACCATGATCAACATTTAGAGAAGAAAAGAATTTCTTAGTCTTAGTTCCGTGCATCATATTATGTGATCTCAAAAAAGGAACATTCTTTTGAAAGATTTAAAATGAAATGATCATTAACAGAGTCCTAAGGAATTTAATAAATTTAAAATGAAATGATCATTAACAGAGTCCTAAGGAATTTAATAAATTTAAAATTGTTTAGAAGGGAAATTGCAGTATTTGATGTTAAAATCTTCAAAAGAGCGATACTGGATATAAAAGCTAGAGCTCAGAAATGCATTGTAACAATGGAACAATGGAGGACATTTTGAATAAAAATATAATAAAAGTAACACAAATTTTTATCAGTATTTTGATTAAATTCATTGTGTCTATTTGCATTTGTTGTTTTAAAAAATATTCATAAATTCGAAGATAAGTTTTCCTTTAAATTTTCATATTATCTTGATATTAATTTTCAACCAAGCAAAAAAGGCAAACTTCAAACTATCATTTCTTTCTCAATACTTTTACTACAAACGTAACTTATGATTGATTTCCACTCATCATTAATTTTGATAAGTTTTCCTTTAAATTTTCATATTATCTTGATATTAATTTTCAACCAAGCAAAAAAGGCAAACTTCAAACTATCATTTCTTTCTCAATACTTTTACTACAAACGTAACTTATGATTGATTTCCACTCATCATTAATTATAGGCACATTTTTGAATTGTTTAAAATTATAAAAATTGAACCATTATTGGAGCTGTAGTACCTTAAAGACTGTTCTCGGGACAATCTGTAAATGTCAAAAGTTACAATTCGATTAAACATAATATACTTTTTGACATAAAGAAGGTTCTTATTAGTTAAATCTAACATTCTTTCTATATACAAAATCTCTATTTGGTGTTTTTTGTATGTCCGATTATAAATTACAAACACCCTGACCGATATGTCCTAAATTTAGATTGGAGAACTTGGTATAAACACGAAAATGTTCTTAGTTAAGTTCAAAATTATAAATTAAATGAGTTGATTTTATAGAGAAATTTTGGTCACCAATCAAAGCTTGGGTTTCAAGCAGAACTTGGGTTCCAAGCAGAGCTTGGGTTCCAAGCAGAGTTTGGGTTCCAAGCAGAGCTTGGGTTCCAAGCAGAGCTTGGGTTCCAAGCAGAGCTTGAGTTCCAAGCAGAACTTGGGTTCCAAGCAGAGCTTGAGTTCCAAGCAGAACTTGGGTTCCAAGCAGAGCTTGAGTTCCAAGCAGAGCTTGGGTTCCAAGCAGAGCTTGAGTTCCAAGCAGAGCTTGGGTTCCAAGCAGAGCTTGGGTTCCAAGCAGAGCTTGAGTTCCAAGCAGAGCTTGGGTTCCAAGCAGAGCTTGAGTTCCAAGCAGAGCTTGAGTTCCAAGCAGAGCTTGAGTTCCAAGCAGAGTTTGGGTTCCAAGCAGAGCTTGGGTTCTAAGCTAATATTAAATATTTCAAGAAGAACTTTATTGTTACCACTTGGAATATACAATGAACTACAATATTTTCGGTTCTATATAAATTGCGCTGCAGTTTCTAGGAGGAATATAAAAAACTCGGCCTTAGCATTGACATTATTTCCATTCCTATCCAGAGTTTGTAGTACACTTGTTATGTAAAAACCTCATTAATATTCGTTCTATTTTCAGGTTTATTTAAGATGATTTAGAATTCTTTGAATTCTGAGAACCATGACTAATGATGAAAATAAGTTTTCAAAAATATTTTTAAGAATTAGATTTTATATTAACCCAGCTTTTGAAAAGATAATCTAAAACAAAAATATTTCTCAAATATCTAAAGAATTTTGTTTTTACCTGAAATTCTAGAACTGTCTAAGGAGGCAACGAATTGCTCGTACTCAGCAGCATCTGAATATTTTTATAATGTTTATTTATGTAATGTTTATTTATGTAATGTTTATTAATGTAATGTTAATTTATGTAATTTTATTCATGAAATGTTTATTTATGTAATGTTTTTTATGTAATGATTATAATGTTTATTTATGTAAGGTATATTCATGTAATGTTTATTTATGTAGTGTTTATTCATGTAATGTTTATTCATGTAATGTTTATTTATGTAGTGTTTATTCATGTAGTGTTTATTTATGTAATGTTTATTTATGTAGTGTTTATTCATGTAATGTTTATTTATGTAGTGTTTATTCATGTAATGTTTATTCATGTAATGTTTATTTATGCAAAGTTTATTAATGTAATGTTAATTTATGTAATTTTATTCATGAAATGTTTATTTATGTAATGTTTTTTATGTAATGATTATAATGTTTATTTATGTAAGGTATATTCATGTAATGTTTATTTATGTAGTGTTTATTTATGTATTGTTTATTCATGTAATATTAATTTATGTAATGTTTATTCATGTAATGTTTATTCATCATGTAATGTTTATTTATGTAGTGTTTATTCATGTAATGTTTATTCATGTAATGTTTATTCATGTAGTGTTTATTCATGTAATGTTTATATATGTAATTTTTATTCATGAAATGTTTATTTTTATGTAATGTTTATGATGCTTATTCATGTAATGTTTATTTCTAATATATATTGATATCTAGTCTAGTCTGAGGATCTACATATATTCATAAATGTTCCTGGATGTATTTAAAGAAATATTCATTCATAAAATTTTTCTTTTCTCAACTGCAACTGACCTTTTTTTAACACTAAAACAAAAGAAAGATATGCTTAGATATAAATATTAAAAGGAAAAAATAAGCTGAAAGCTTGAACAGGTAAAAATGGAAAATGGGTAAAACCACGATTATGAATTAAAACTTAAAAGTTAGAATAGGTTAAAGTTTAAAATACCTAATTAGGTGAAGAACTGTTTAATGTAAAACAAGGAACGTTTTATTTAAACTTTTCTCAACTAAAAGAGGGGATCAAGTTTAGAAAAGGAATTAATAATTAGGTTGAAAAATCAGACTATGGAATAATCATTGGAAGAATCAGACTACATTTATAAAATAAAATTTCGATGATATTATGATATTATTCAAAAAGTTTGAAACTTTGTTTAAAATAGAGTTCAAAAAACTAAATTTTGTCTCAATACTTTTGCATTAAATGGATTAAGCTTTAAATCAGTAAAAACATCTCCATACTGAAAAAGTTAAAAGGAGGAGGCTGGTACAACTTTGAGACCTTGTATCTCTTCCAGTTTAGAATTTACGCACAAGTTTGAGAATAGATAGAATTATAAAGTTATAATGAAACATATTTTAGATTGCAAATTAGTTTAGTTTGACATTTCTTAGGACTAACTCAAATTAAACTTAATCTAAAAATAAAAAATAATTCATTTTTATCTGAATATCCAGAATAATCCAGAATACCAAACTACGCGTGATATTTGAAATATTGACACCCTAGAATGAACGATTTTGGTAATTTATAAATTTGTTCAAACACACGTTTCATAAGAATTTTGAGAAAAAAAATTAAGAAAGTAATAGAGGCAGATATAATAGAGGCATCTATTTTCCATAATATGTTTTTTTAAAAGTAAATCAATCATTGTTTGTTTTTGGCATAATCCGATTCTGACACTGAAACAACTTATAATATTTGTAAAAATGGATCAGATATAGTTTCTTTGAGCACAATTAAATTGATTATTTGATGGCTGCACAAGAAAATTATTAAACTTGTATCACTATCACCTATTCCCTGATTTAGCATCAAGTTGTCTTTAGGTTCCACAACAGGGATACTTGATAAATAATCTTCAGCCCATCCTCCATACTCCTGGATTATCATTATTATTATTATTATAATGTTTATTAATGTAATGTTAATTTATGTAATTTTATTTATGAAATGTTTATTTATGTAATGTTTATTCATGTAATGTTTATTCATGTAATGTTTATTCATGTAGTGTTTATTTATGTAATGTTTATTTATGTAGTGTTTATTCATGTAGTGTTCATTTATGTAATGTTTATTTATGTAGTGTTTATTCATTTAATGTTTATTTATGTAATGTTAATTTATGTAATTTTATTTATGAAATGTTTATTTATGTAATGTTTATTCATGTAATGTTTATTCATGTAATGTTTATTCATGTAGTGTTTATT